GGCCACTAACCCCGCGCGTACTCGTGCCGACCACCTCGGAGATAGACCCGGGCACCGGCAGGGCACAGCGGCAGCGGCGGCAGCGGCCCTTTGATCAGGCTAATGGGTCGGATCACAGTGGCCGCCGGCATGCAGCCATTAGGAGACGGTAATGCCGCCCGGACAGCCGCCCCGTCACATGCACGGTCATTTGCACATCAACAGAGTGCGCGCAGACAGCGCCGCAAGACGCTCTGGTCGTGTCCAGGACGGAGGCGGACAATGCGACGTCTGCTATGGCCATGTGTGGATATTCACACAGCGTATTTACGAGCCAGTACCTATTTCTGACCAATAGGGAGTGTAAAGCGTGCTACATACATGCTACGAATTACATTCTAGGTCTAGTCGAATTGTATGCTGTCCGAAGAAAGACTCTCACAATCCCAATCTCCCTTCCTCGTTCTTTTTCCTCTGCCTCCCCTCTTCCTCAAAACACCCCATAATACACACTCTCCTCCTCCTCTCTCTCCCTCTCTCTCTGTCTTTCCCTCTGTCTCTCTGCTTCTCTCCTCTCACTCTCTCCTCCCCTTTCGATGCAGACCATTTGCGTCAATGACCGTCGAAGGTCGTATCGAGCACGTACGGCCGAACCGTGCGAGGGCCAGCCAGATCCAGTCTCGATTAAGTTCCAAAGTGTGGCGACCTTTGCACGCTGTCCGGTGCCGCCTGGAACGTGCTCTGTTCCGAAAGGGTACGGCGGCGTAGGCCGGCGGGCCATGCTGCGAATTGTCGCCGGAGCAATGTCATTCACCTCCATTGAGCAACTTAACGGAATGCTCGCTGGAAATAGAGTGCAAAGGAAACGGCATCGACCTATGCGGACGTCTCATTCATCTTTATTGATATAGCCAGACAACCCGGCTTGCTTTCTACTCTCTCAGAATTGGTTGGCGCGAAAAATCGAAGGCATCGTCGGGCAAGCAGAATGCACGACCACTACAGAATAAACTTGGCTCGACAAACAACTATAACAATTATACCAACAATCAGTCTGGAGCCCTCGGCACAACTCTGAATGGGAGACGGGCGCCAATCCGCACCCCTGGTCGTGTGTGGCCCGCACGTACTCCTCACGGACACCGCGACCTCGCCGTCAGAGCGGCGGCCGCCGGCCCCGCACGGCCCGTCGTGCGCCGCGCCTTCCACGATTACCGACGCGCCGACGACGACCATGATTGGTGGTTTCGGTGACGTATGATGCGTATGACGTCATACGATCACAGGGTCCCCGGTGGGTCGATCGGCCCGCGACGTCACGGGGTGGTCAGTTCCGGGATGACCCCCTGAGGCTGCTTCCGACTCTCCACTCGTGCGATCGAGTGATTAGAAGGCTTTCACAAGATTCGCTGACACGCCAAGACCGACCCATAGGGCACTGTGGAGTGAACGAAGGCAGTCTGGTGATTTTTAATGAACAATGCCAGATTAATCTAGTTTTGCATTTGTTTCTTAATTCAACCATTCGGCGAAAGAACGCCAAGCTATGGTTGAGTGTTTCACTAACTTAACGATGTACTCACAAGAATATCTGTACCTACTTCCCAGGACACTGAACATTTTGTTCAACGGCGCAAGCGAAATCATTCGTACATAACGCATATTTGAATCAAATCCTATACTTATTCAGCAAACTTACGGCACGCTCTCAAACGTGAAGACCAAGCCTATCAAGGAAACTCCCTCGAACGTCTGCAGGCCATATTCTCGCGCTGAGATGGAGCCGGATCTATTGGCGCTGAACGCGGAAGTTCTGGGGACGTTGCCGGCGTCACGGGATTGCCGGCCATCCGGACGGTCGTAAGGCGGAATTCCATCACGGGTCGCCGGCCACCGATCGGCGCGAGAGGGCTGAGAGAAGGTTCAGGTTCAGAAGAGAGAGGAGAGGCGAGGTGAGGTGAAAGGCGGAGAGATAGGAGGACTGACAGCGTGCAGATAGGGTATATATGATAACAGAGGCAGGAAAGGTAGATGACACAAGCCGGATATGACTAGACGTCACCGTGACGGTTACGTCACCAGTTACCAACGAAGCAAGATATGCGAGTGATTGGTTGACATCGTTTATCAGGCATGGGATAGTCAGCGATGCTTTTTCGGAGTATCCTTTTTTGCATGATAGTAATTGCAGGGAGTGCCAGCTGCGACACTAGAGGTTATGTACTGGATCCTTCTGCAGAAAATCGTTTAATGGAGCCACCAGTGATTTTAGCCACAGCCACGACGGTATCATAAAGAATCTCCCACCGACAAACAAGCACACAACTTGCTTACCAATCAAAACACGCGCCAGTGTCGAATCAGCTGCTTCCAAGGCGGCTCTTCATCATCCTCTCCGCATCTCTCTGCGGATGATAAACTACCCAGAACAACATCTAACTGCCTGTCTGCTAGACACCCAATCGATGGAGCTGGGTGGCCGAGTGACCGCCGCGCGGGTCGGGTGCCACTGAGGTCCGTGCCCGTCAAATACCGCCGACCCCACTGTGCGGGTCTGCCGAGCGGGGTGCCCCTGGTTATATCGATACCGAGCGGCGGGGCCGGGGTCACCGCACAGCCAGCCAGCGATCTGTGGTCGGCAGAGCCGGCCATACTGTATCTCTATAGTCCGTGATAGCGCAAACGAGCGCCCGCTCCGGCTCTGCCGCTCCGCCGGATGGGGCCGCGTGAAAAACGACCACCGCCGGTCCCATGTGGCGAGCTGGAGAGCCTTATAAAGATGAAGAAATGGGGGGCTTAATGGCGCAGACAAGAGAATTCAATACTCGGACGGCTAAATTCACATCCTGGCTCTACCCCGCAGGCAGGCGGAGCCCAGTGAGGGGACAAAGTCAACCGATTGCCGTCAACCGCAGCTCAACCGTCATCCACTGACCGCGGCTCGGTCGAGTGCGCGCGGCGGCACACGCCTCAGCAGACAGCAATTATTAATCGAGAGCCGCCACCGACACAGCGCTGCCGACGAGCCTGTATTGGCCGCCGACAGAATCGACTGAGGAACAGGAGATCCAACTCCGCGGTCCGGGTCCCGGGGGAGGACGGCCAGCGCCGCTCCACCAGCCTCCCGGTGAGGAGCACAGCGACAGAGCGCTGGTGAGGGGCTCAGCCGGCCGGCCAACCGCGAGCCACAGAGGTGGGCGAAAAGTAACAACCCAACGTGTAGACAATGTGCAACAGTCGACAAGTACAAACTCTTTTGAGACCCGAAACGGCTGCTTCAGTTTCCAAGTCAACACATGCCGAAATAGTTCTAAAATGCGATCTCTAATTACAAGTTACAACATTATCCTGTCCGAGCGCATGGGACACAAGTATTGCTCAAGTTTGAAAGTCCGATATAAGGTATCAGACTTTGGTCGCGCGTCTCTGCAACTTTTCAGAAGAGCCTCGCTTCCTAAAGAGACGGGGCCTCGGGGCCTCATCCGCCCTGAACTCGTTACCTGAACAGGCAGCCTCTATTGTTGCAAGTTGTCGGCAAAATAATAGGCACCGTTTACATTTTAAGCGAATGTAAAACGCAGTCAGCTTTCCTATTGTGCACTGGTCCTTACGGTGCACTCAACCAGACAGCGTTGATTGCGGCACTGGAGCGAAATTCATGGTGGTGTTTCAGGACGTTGTTCAATCAAGCAGACTCGGAATTCACGACCCAATGTCAAGCTAGCCTGAGCTACTTAACCAACAGCGCTCATTGACATGGAAAACAAACGACATGACCGACATGACGCACGATTGAGCTACCAGGTGATGTCCAGGTGTATTTATATTTTATAATCATGGTTTTGCTGTTTACAGAAAACCTGCGAGAAACCACCAAGTTTCTCCTTTAATTCGTATAAATTTATTTCCCGACCATCCAAACGACCTTTTTAAATGTGTACAGAACGGATACCTACTTTAAAATACAACATACTGCAAACAGCACGACTCTAGTTCAACAAAGAGCCGAACGGTACACAAGACCGCTCAGTAAAGTGGTCCTGCGGGACCGTGGGAACCGGTAGGGGCGGTGCCCGCCGTCTATCCGGTGCGTCGCAGGGCGGTTAGCCACGATAAAACGTCACCGCTCCATTTCGCTAAAAGCCTGGCCAGACGTTATTCCATAAACCAAGATCGCTCTTATGTCATCGCAGCGATTAAAACCAAGGAAACGGTTAACAGCTATCAGCTGACATATTACGTGTCCGAAGATCTAAATAGAACCACCTGCGCTAAATACTTCTTCGCTACAGCCTTTTTTCATTGATAGCCCTGAGAGCAATATATCAAGAAATGATATAATTTATACGGGAATGCCTGTCCACTGTAAAATTAGGCCCAGACTGATAGAGTGCTCGAGAATGTCGTATAAAACGCGGTGCAATTCCTGCCCCACAGCCTGGGCGTCAACGAAATTCCGTCATGGATTATGTGTGATGCTCATATAGCCTGAAGAATGAAACTCCAACAACATGAATGAAAAATGAGACACCAACGTGAAAAACGAGTGTTAAGCAAACATGCCAACTATCCACCACAAAGGAATTAATTATCTGCATTTGTCACATCTTTGTGAAGTGAGTTCAACGATGTTAGTCACCCCTCCCCAGCCGAGCGCCCTGGGTGTACTCCCCCCGCCCGACTCTACCCACTCCCCCTCCCTGACTCTACTCCCCTCCCTGGCTGTACTCCCCTCCCTGGCTCTACTCCCCTCCCCGGCTGTACTCCCCCTCCCTGGCTGTACCCCTCCCTGGCTGTTTGTATGTTTGTTTGTTTGTTTGTTTGTTTGTTTGTTTGTTTGTTTATTGGGGCTTTAGGACGCGCCGACTGCAAAGGTCATTTTGCGCCCATCCCCAGCCGAGCGCCCTGCCCGAACTCACACCGCCCCGACTCTACTCCCTAGTCCCTACCCTAGCTGTACTCACAACTCCCAGACTCTACTCCCCTCCCCGACTCTACTCTCCCTCCCCGGCTGTACTCACGCCTCCCCAGCCGAGCGCCCTGGCCAGGTCATTGCCGGTACCCAGCGGCAGGACGGCGATGGCCGGCGGGGGACTGAAGCCCATCTGGTCGAGCACAGAGAGCACCCACCCGACGGTGCCGTCACCACCGCAGGCCAGCACGCGCAGGTTCGGCACCTTGCGGTACATCTCCAGCCTGCCGGAGAAAGACCGAGTGAGGTGGAAAGTGGGGTGAGAAAGTGGGGGAGGGCGAGAAGGTTATGTTACACAACCGTGGTGTGCGTGTGCCCTTAGCGTTATTGAATAGATCGACGTTGCAGACCGTAAAACATTTATACTCATTCTACATTATTGTTATGTAACTGCATGCTGGATGTTTGAAGATGTATGACAGCACGTCTGCTCAAACAGTTTCATTCAGTCGCACACAATGCATCCAGCCACTGCATCGCTACCTCGGCACACACTGATGACCTCTGATAACCCCCTGTCGGTGGGTAGCCGTCCCCGCGATCCCTCACACCGGTGGTGGACCAAACCGCCACCATTGACCGGTCGGCGGACCAGGAGCCGTCGGCAGAGCGCACACGGTCGGCGACGCAGCGCTATCTGTCATAAGGACGGCTCCTTGTGTCCCGCCCCGACCCCGACCCTGACCCCGACCCCGACCGGGCCGGACCCCGACCCAGCCGGACCGGACCCGGACCCGGCCGGGCCTTGCGGGTCGATGGGGAGTAATCCATAATTCAGCCACAGCGGTTTGGACACGAGCGGACCCGCTGCACATTGCGGCCCGCCCGCCCGGACGGCCGGCCGCGAGGCAGCCAGCAATAATGACCAGACGATGGTGTAAGAAAGGCCTCAAAGTGTGTGAATTAGTGAATGTACGGAAGCAGACGTTTTAAATTTCGCACTCAGGCACTCAATTCGAAAGTTATTTGCATTTCAAAAACGAATCGTCATTGTAAGCCAAACTTCAAGGTGAACATGCTATAAATTACTCCAAGCTCTTCATAACTACAACTGTAGTCCCAACAGACATCACAGGTCCTGTGAGGAAGTTGGAGGTAGGAGTGACGAGTAGTAAAGTAATCTTGGGAGTGACAGCCAGTTTTTTTCCGAGCCCAAAAAGCCTCGTTCTTCTCACTTGAAAAGAGATGGACAGCCCAATGCATTACACACATTATTTTCCCTGTTGACCTATCTCGGTCTGACTCTTCTGTCATTTCCTCTCCCCCAATTCTCTCCTCCTCTCTCTCTCTCTCTCTCTCTCTCTCTCTCTCTCTCTCTCTCTCTCTCTCTCTCTCTCTCTCTCTCTCTCTCTCTCTCTCTCTCTCTCTCTCTCTCTCTCTCTCTCCCCCCTCTCATATGCTCCATCTAAGCAGAACTCTGGGCCAGCCGGGAACCACCCAACGGCTCGCCGGAAATGAGCAAACGACGAGACGGATACGGGGAGACAGCGGGGGTCCGATGACGGGACGATGACGACCGGATGACGTGCACCAGGGGGGGGGGGGGGGGTCGATACGGAGCTGACGCCGCCTGCCGATAGACCATGACGGAGCCTGGCTCGAGGTCGGAGCCGAAATACATTTTGGTGTGCGGATGAAATCATTTGCCAGCATTGGAGCTCGCAAAGGAAAGTAAAAAAGTGACCTTCACAAACATCTGTTGTACCATTTGCTTTTTTAATGAGCAGATAATACTCTGCGAAGTGCAAAATAATGATGATGATCTGAACTTATTATATTAATAAGTCAATCGAAGAAGAGAAAGCCATAATATGGAGCAATGTGATCGAGTATCTTGTTCGGATACATCTGAACGAATGTTTAATGCAACGTAAAAGCAGCCGTTGTTAGCGTTCGGTAGCTTAGAGGATCACTAACATAATAGATCGGATCATATTGTCAGGAAAATCTCCGAGATCATATTGCTAAGAAGATCTCAGTAAATCACACTAATGGTCATGCTGATCTCACTGCACAGCCAATAATGAGAGGGCACTCAATAAATATTGTGTGGAGGTGGGGACAGGGAGAAAAGAGCGTATCTATTTTGCGTCCAACAAAACGAGGCAGTCCAGAACGAGTATGATACGAGTGACATGAGAAACGCGGGACTATAGAATACCAGTTCCCTAAAGCCTCTTCTCATAAGGACCTATTGCCTGCAGCGTGGTAAGGAGTCTTCAACACACAATACATTTTCAGTAGCTGGTCGCTCCCACTGTTAAAAAAGCCTCCCAAATGCGTCATCTGGCATGTTTTTACTACAGTAGGAGGTACCAATTCGGTCTGTGTTTGTGATCCGTAACAGCCTTCATACAGTATCGCGCTCGCTCCTTGCCCAATTTCACAGTCTAGCCCAGGGCTCGCCGCCGGCAGCGCAGTATCGCCTGGCCTGCTGTTTTCGCCAGTTTGCAATCAAGTGGCCGCACAGCCTGCAATAACCACAGACCGACCCGCACTGTATGAAGTTTTACTGTCCAAAACATGTGCGGATCCAAAAACACAGCGCCTTGCTTAGTGAGTAACTCTAGGCAAAGACGACCACCACCGAAAACACCATCACTGGAAGATGTTAGATTGTATCATGCGTAATGAAGTGGTCTTAGTACTTAATGGACACGTAACTATGACACTTTTGTGGTTCTCCCGCATGATATTCATATAAGAATGCCCAAAAATGCAGCTTCGATAGCTGATAATCAGATGCATTTGTTCCGTCACCAGCATCATCATCCAGATCCATGTAACTCCCATACAATCCTTCCATCATAGGTCCATTCATACTGACAATAAACCTCAGGGTCATCGCTACACCGCCGTGGTTATCCTACACCTATACCGAGCCCGTCACCGGCATCCCTCTCATGGAGTCAGAAAGAGAGAGAGAGAGAGAGAGAGAGAGAGAGAGAGAGAGAGAGAGAGAGAGAGAGAGAGAGAGAGAGAGAGAGAGAGAGAGAGAGAGAGAGAGAGAGAGAGAGAGAGAGAGAGAGAGAGAGAGAGAGCGAGAGAGAGAGAGAGAGAGAGAGAGGGAGAGGGAGAGAGAGAAGAGAGAAGAGATCGCCCTCGCGGCGTCTCGGTGCTCCGGGCCCGGCTATTCTCGGTGTAGCTCGGCTCTCCGACGGCTATTCTCGGTGTAGCTCGGCTCTCCGACGGCTATTCTCGGTGTAGCTCGGCTCTCCGACGGCTATTCTCGGTGTAGCTCGGCTCTCCGACGGCTATTCTCGGTGTAGCTCGGCTCTCCGACTCTCTGTACCGCCCGGCCGGCCAGCCCGCAGTAATGGCTCAGCCGTCCCGGACCGCGGGTCCGGTGTCGGCGGGCCCCTGATAGTGGATCCGGTGTCCAATCAACGGTCACCCCTCCCCCAGGGCAGAGCAGGAGGAGGGGATCCGCGACCCGCCGCCGACCGACCCAAAACAAATAAAACTGATTACATAAGCACATCACGCTGCATGTAACGTAAAGGAGCATTGCATGCCTACTTTTTGTTGAAGGAACGGATAAAATGTAGCATAACAGAAACTTTGAAAAGAGGAAATACTTAATCCATGCATTATCGTTTCTCCGCACGACAAAAATAATACAAAACAATACAAAAATAGCTCAATGGGCGTGCGAACTATACGACCCATATACACATCACGTGTCATCCACATGGCGCGCGCGTTGCTCACCCTTCTCGAGGTCCTCCCTGTGTGAGATCGTATAGCTCCATGGCGTGCGAACTATCCGATCAATAAACACATCACATGTTGTCCATACGGCGCGCGAGAGTTGCTCACCCTTCTCGAGGTCCTCCCTGTGTGAGATCGTATAGCTCCATGGCGTGCGAACTATCCGATCAATGAACACATCACATGTCATCCATACGGCGCGCGAGAGTTGCTCACCCTTCTCGAGGTCCTCCCTGTGTGAGATCGTATAGCTCCATGGCGTGCGAACTATCCGATCAATAAACACATCACATGTTGTCCATACGGCGCGCGAGAGTTGCTCACCCTTCTCGAGGTCCTCCCTGTGTGAGATCGTATAGCTCCATGGCGTGCGAACTATCCGATCAATGAACACATCACATGTCATCCATACGGCGCGCGAGAGTTGCTCACCCTTCTCGAGGTCCTCCCTGTGTGAGATCGTATAGCTCCATGGCGTGCGAACTATCCGATCCATATACACATCACATGTTGTCCATACGGCGCGCGAGAGTTGCTCACCCTTCTCGAGGTCCTCCCTGTGTGAGATCGTATAGCTCCATGGCGTGCGAACTATCCGATCAATGAACACATCACATGTCATCCATACGGCGCTCGCGCGTTGCTCACCCTTCTCGAGGTCCTCCCTGTGTGAGATCGTATAGCTCCATGGCGTGCGAACTATCCGATCCATATACACATCACATGTTGTCCATACGGCGCGCGAGCGTTGCTCACCCTTCTCGAGGTCCTCCCTGTGTGAGATCGAACACCTGGCGCGGGTTCAGCAGCCACTGGAACTTCTGCATCAGCTTGGCGCCCTGGTTGCCGCCGCTCTTGGGGTTCAGGAACACGATGATGGGCTTCACGTTGGCCGTGGGGATCGGCTTGATGGCGAAGGCGCGCGTCTGATCTTTGTCGATCTGTGAGATGGAGGGAAAGTATAGCGTCAGGCAGCAGTCGGGTTCGGCGAGCGTCGGCGGCGTGCACTCGAGAGCAGCCAGCTATTTTCGGCGGTGGAGGTACCCGCGGGGACAACGCTGCAAGGCGACTACGATACTAGCGGGACGGGGAGAGCTATTAATAGCTCCGACATTTACACCCGTGTGAGCAGCCGGGTGAGTACGCGAATAGACATGTGATTATACTCCACCAATTCTGAGTAAGTAGATTAAAATAGCGTCATTTGTGTGCGTACTCCAGTTAGTGACGTGGAGAGCAATGCAAGAAATAGAACGAACTTGGATAACAGAGTCAAATGATGATTCTATTCCTAGACTGCCAAAGTTCTCAAACGACTATTTTAGTCAAATCACTCATGCCACTTTCAAATGAGTTCTTTATTGTATGAATACGCTGAAAGAATACATAACGAAAGGAGAAACTGAAAACGTGGGCAATAGTTTCTGCGTTTGTTGAATTTGACTTAAGAACCAGAACACCAGTATTCTAGCATACATTTAACAATTGTCTTCCGCTGAAAAAAAGGTTTGTTGAACGACACACTGTGCATCAAATACTAATGAACCTGCCCATTCAGAAGAGACGCCTCACCCAGTCTCGACTTTTTCGCCGGCTGGACGACCGTTTCTTGGGCGATTTCCGCAGGCTGGACTTGAAGCTGCCCCTGCGCGGCAGCTTCACGATCCACGACGGCGGCACGATGATGTCTTTGTGAATTCCTGAGGATAGAGCAAACACGCGAATCACTGCAAAATTCACAAGGCGTCGCCACGGCGATATACTGTTCTGGGCTTCAAATTCTTTCGGTTAGTTATGTAACAATACACGTGAGTAACACCCGTGAAGATGCCACTTCTCTTGGTATCCAAGTCTAGACTGATGTCCTCATGAATTGCGCAATGTAGGCATCATAAGACAATGGTAAACTTTTTATGGGTAGACAATGGTAATAGTCGCTAGCATTAGTGAGTCCATAGTTAGGCTAGCAAGGCCATTTACTCTACCACTGAAGTCATTTGTTCATATATCAGTATACCTAAGGCACTATATAAAAGACACACGGGAATACACCGTCGCACCACTCGCTAATGGACCCCATTGAGTCAGTGCACCATGCGCCAATAAACCCGAACCACATTGTCACTTTGAAGAGGACTGGCCCATTGACAGCGCCTTCTGGAAACGGCCCTGCCCACTCCCCAGTCGCAGCTCAAACCGATTCATTCGTCCATCGGCGGCTCTCAAAGATCGCTGAGCCGTTTATTTGGCGATCGAGCGGCCCAGCTGTTCCCAACGGCCCCGGATCTAACCGTCATGTGAGATGGCCAAAAAATATCCAGCCGTGGACACAGCATATGTGACGTTCCGTGATTACTAGCACAGAAGTGGCGCTAGATCTAGGAATCGCTAGCTCGGTGGATCTCTGATTCTCTGGATATCTAAATCGATGGATCTCTGTTCGATGGGCTGCTGGTCGCACAATCTGTCGAGTGGTCAGTGGCCGTCACATAGCGTTCTGTCACGCTCTGAGAAGACCACTCGTCGGTCGCCGAGAAAAACCGAGCCCGTTTCAATAATGACACTCGGGTCCTCTGGAGATTTGGAGAGAACGGCTACTCGGTCTTCAGCGAACCGCCGGGAGAATTTATTTAACCAGAGCGCTACTGAAAACTGTCACGGCTGGGTTTTAGCTTCCACGGCATCTCCTGACTGAATGAAATACCACAGACGATAGAGCTATGGTCAAAATAAAACTGTCGCACTTACTCCTTACGAAAGTCGTTCCTAAACTAAGATAGCTTAATAGAAGCTATTGTGAAGCAATCTAGGAAATATGTGTTGTTGTTCTTATCAAGACGTGAAATAAAACACTCGGAACAAATACTTCCCATGTGTTATGTACCACATACAATCCAATTTCAAAATAAGACCTTGAAAGCCTGCGAAGTTTCGTCGGTAAGAAATACCTACTGTCGCGCCCTAATCCACTGCGCTGTGCCGCACGTGTTCCGGCCGCCTCCTGTCGTGACCAGGCTCCATTACCCCGCTCGGCTCGTGCCTGCACGGTGACGGACAGGAGGCAGGCGCCGCGGCCGTGCCGCCGCCACGCGACACACGAGCGACACGGAGGTGTAGTGCGCCACTTCGGCTTCGTGACTCGGGCCATCAGCATAACCCCTTAGGAAAATTCGCCTACATGTGCTATATACGGTGAGAGTTTGTCGTGTGTATTCATATCGAAGCGACAAATTGAAATATGTCTAACGATGGTTTAAAAGTGAAGATATGATCCGAACAGAAGATATTTCATAAGATATTGAAGCCCAAAGCCAAACTACGATCATTGCAGCTTTCTAAATTTATTTCCCGAAAAGGAAGATAACGAAGGAAGGAAGCCGATCATAACCCAACTTTTCTCTTATAATACCGAAACGTTTGGCCGTCTGCGTTCCTCTGCGGGTCAGTCCAGCACCATCTGCTCCCCGCTGACCTCACTGTGGGCCGCGCTGATGTCGGACGGCACCTCCGACTCACGCAGACCAAAGGAGAGGAGGATCCCGGCCAGAAGTTAGCACGGTTATTGCCAAGGGCGAGGCACGGTTTATGGCGGACCGGGGAGCTCGGCCCGAGTCTGCCGGCTCAAATGACCATCCGTCTGTTGCGGGAGAGGCGGTGGTGGATTGAGGACCGACCCTACGGCGGTCTGAAGTTCGGGGTGCGACATTGACCAATTGATTGATGAGATCAGCTGAGGGGTTACCGAGACCAAATGCAAAGTTATCGAGACAAAAAAGAAAAGAAAACGATCATCACGACCAGCTGTACTATTGCAAAAACAACCGACTGAATATCCAGATCAGTTGCATGGTTTCCGAAACCATCTGAACGGTTACTGAAACCAGCTGCACGTTTACAGGGACCAGCTGCACGTTTACAGGGACCAGCTACACGTTTACAGGGACCAGCTGCACGTTTACAGGGACCAGCTGCGTTTACGGACTCCACGGCAGTTGCCTGTCCACCGCGCAGGGTTGTAATTGCCCCGGCTAACGTATTTTAGTACGGCAATTACATCACTTTAATTACATGCACGAAAACGGTAACGGCGTGTTCCAGATTTAATCAGGCCAAAGTGCGGCGGCGCCAGACGCGTGTTGGGTCTGATCGCATAATTTGTGGCCCATTGAATGGAGCTGCGGCCACTACGGCCGTGCCACGGTATAAGGTCAGCGGCGTCCGAATCGAACTTAGTTCCGAGCGGGCAAACACATGTCCGTTTACTATAATGTACCGCCAAACACAGCCATAATTGCCGCTATTTCTGAAACTACGTGATATTGAAAATATCGACTAAGCTAATAGCTTACTATATCACCCTACTGCACACAGCCAAATAATTAGCTATAACCGCATTTCTGTTTGTGATACCGGGTCGGTACACGTTTCGAGAACGGCTGTAATTGTACCGCGCTGGTCCAAATTAGCCCGCCTGGACTACACTCGGGTGTGTGTCCCCTCGGCGGAGTGGCAGCAGCATAATTATCCCGTGGAGGTGGATAAGTATCCCGGGGGACTGCACTACACGTCCCTAGGACTCCAATTCCACTGCACCACTCAGAAACACGGCGGGCACAACAGCGAACAGAGTGAAAACATAGTCCGACGAGAGTGCTACTGTTGCGAGGAGCGGCTATTTTAGTTCAGAGTCGGCCCAGAGCAATATCAAATGCACTTATAAGAAAAAATCCGGGGTGATACACTCAAGTCATAGGTAGATTAAAACAGATGTGCATCACCTGCTAATATATGCGCTGCGTACTGCAGACAACGCGATGACCATGACCGATGTAATTAGCATACGTATGCTCGAAGTACTGCAAAAATTGTATTTGGCTTATCAACAACGCAGTAAGATATCCTTAAAATTTGTTTTACACCAATCTCATCACAGACCTTACGATACATAATTAATTCACTTAAAAACAGCTGACTATTTTGTCCTTTTCTGCTTATCCTTCATTATACGCATCCTCACGCCCCAGACAGCAGCAGAGTCAAACAAACTCTCCCATAAAGCGCAGTTGACTTCAGTTCAGCAGCCCCGGCCGCACGGTTGGGACGCCTCTCTCGTACGAGTGTTTGTCGCTGGCTAACAAGGCCCACCGCGCTCAACTAATTACAAACAGCGGCACGGCTACCTAATTCAATAACGCTCCGACTTCACTGCTATGCAGATCGTGCGTTGTTTATGTCTGTAACGTTGGGTCAGCGAGCCTCTTACCAGCACTGGACGGAAAACTGTGGTGTTTGGATAGTTCCAACCTTTCTAGCGATCGAGCAGAATGCTTCGTTAATCTGTGTTATTTATAGTCATACTTTATTGTCTGTACTTGTCTAAATCTACATGATGTTTTCACAGTGGGTCGGATAGATCTCATACCCTACGTTTGCACTGCATCTGCTACTATACCGCTAAACTCTCAGCAAGTACAACGTTCAGTGGGCTGCAACCCATTCCGAAACGCTACCCTCCAAGCCCAGTTCCCCCTGTTCCTGTACTCACCCAGGCTACACTTCTCCTCTATCACACAGCTCTCCCCCCAAATTATTATTGCCCAGTTCCCCACAGTCCCGTAGGTACTCACCTAGGCTACACTGCTCCTCTATCCTCTGCATGCTGAAGCACGGCTCCTTGTTGTGATAGGTGGTTCGACACCACGAACAACTTATTGCCACAATGTCTTTGGTAGAAAACGACAGTTTCGACATAAAACTCTGCAACAAGACCAAGACGAAAGCGAGTCAGCACACACCACGCACATAATTAAAAGTGACAATGTGAAACAACACAGGCATTGCCCAGGCTATCAATGTCTGTGGCCAACACACTGGAAGCATTTCGCTCAGAATGGGCGTTATGTGTACTCAGTTCGGGCCCTACTTTTGGGTGAACTGCGCGTACTGCAGCTCAATAACACTATTTTCGAGTTGGTGAGTAGGCTACTGCGAGCGCGGCCCGAGCAGCGATGCCATTTCGTGCAGATCTACGGCCACTGGAAATGGGAGGGAAAGTGCAGGATATGGTGGCAAGGCCGAGCCATTTTAGGAAAAACAGCGAAACGCACTCCAGCCATCAAGGCAGAACTAGAGAGAAAAATAGGTAATTAATCATACGCAATATGCGTTACATTTCCACATTTGAATAAGCTCAATGGGCAGACAGAAAGTAGGAAATGCAGTTAGGAAGTGGACAGAAAAGGTCAATATACTTCAAAGGACTGCTAAATGCATTACTTGAGAACCCGCAGAGGAAATAAAAGAAAACTGTTTTTTTTCTGTTTGTTCAGTTATTCTGGTTTACCATGTATCATGATTTCTTTCCCACCTTACATGGGATTTTAAAACTCATGTTCAGTGGTCGTTCACACATTTTTTTTTTCATATTTTCACTTCATTGCCTATTTCCTTGTATTGTTCATATATATTGTTTTCTATTTTAGTTACATGTGTATCTGCGTTTTTTATGCGGGCGTGTGTATGCTGCCTGTGTGTGCCATATTTATTGTTTTTAATCTTGTGGTGGGTCAAGTGCCTGTTGACGGTCTGTTGAATAAATACAAAATACAAAATAAATACAAAAATTTGGGCTGTCTGGCAGGCAGCTTTGTAATATCTTAAAGAAGTTAAAATCGCCGATACGCGTGATACAAAAACATGAGCCCTTGTCTTCAGGTCACTTTCATCAGACCTCAGGACACAGACCTGGTAATGCTACAGGGCGTTTACTTTGACTGAGTCTATGGAACGGCATTATTTTCTTTCAGCCAATATCAGACGGCTTAGGCCAGCTCAGAGGTATAAATAGCGCCCACACGGAACATGAGGAGTTATTGGAACATTATTCATAGGAACAAACCAAAGTTTCATTCAAGTTCTTCTCTTTATCAAAGCTCATGATATTAACAATGAAATAAAAACAAACTTTAGTCTGATGATAGAACAAACACGACATAAACGTAAATACATCAAGGAGAGTCGAAGGATCGTCACAAAATAAGGTTAACAGCGTCCTTTGTGGCTAGTCTCGATCTGGCGTGCCGCTCTCAGTTCTCACCTTTGCACAATGTTTGCATTTTCCCTTCTGATTCCGGCGGTGAACCCAGTGGTGGGCAGTGGCTGTGTTGTCCCGGTACTGCCTGATCCCGACATCCCTGGAACACACAGTACCTTTACGTCAGAACTCGATCGAGCGAGGGGCAGCGGGCTCTGCCGGTGGGCACAGGAAATCTGCCTGTCCTCATATGCCTTTTTTACAACATTGTCTTCTACCAAGACAGTTGTCTATGTAGACAGGAAGGACGACGACACCTCGTTGATTCACTGCGGATTGGTCTGTCAAATGTTCTGCAATTTACATACGTCGGAGGCATTCCGATTATTCCGATGGTTCAACCGCTACTTGTAAGCACGATTTATTTAGCAATTGACAAGTCACTCAGGTGTCGCTCGTCAAGGTAGATGAACTGAAAGAGCCGAGCAAATGTTAGTAGCAGCGCAGCGCCATCTGCAAGCTGAGCTTGTGGAGCGCCATCTGTTATCAGCGAGCAGCGGACGGGTAGCTGCAGGTGATTTCGATGCAATCAGGATCCAGGCATAGAAAGAAAACAATAATTGTAATAATAAATAAAGAATACGTTTTTGTACCTCAAGTATGAATTATGCAAGCTTCCATTTGTTAACCCTCGCCGGCACAGGCCATTTCGAGTCCTTCGACGGCACAAGGGGGGGGGGGGGGTTGGTACGAACCCCTCGCGCGGTTCCGCGGTTCTCTTCGAATGTTTACCTTGTAAATTAGGTTCCATTTCTGAGGCTCGTGACTGGGAGGGTGGTGTTTACTCTGTATAGTTCTCGGAATGTTTACGCCCCCGACATTCCAGACATGCACGCTGAACATCGCACGTGACATGACGAAAAGTGATCATGGGATACGAAACTTTCAAATGTTCTCCTCCTTCAAATAAATAAGTTGGGTAAGATTGACATGCCAATCACATTGAGCAATGATCTCTTTTCGCGTTTTCAAGCTAGTTCTCTTTGACGCTGTTAATTTATCTATAAATAAATATCCTTGAACTGTGATTGTAGAAAAGAACATTACGATGACAAATAGGAACCGAATACCACATCAAGATGCATATCATAGTGAATTTTCATTTTCTACAGTGGCACCGTGCTTCAGTTTCGGCGTCGCTGGCCGGCACCTAAGCAACAAGTGAAGCAAACACAATCAGAAAGTGGTTGTACGCCGCACTTCAATCGGGCCAAGTGTTCAGGTGATTGCAAGCCGCCACAAACAACACCTGTCGGGGCCAGCGAAAAGTTACAGCGGCGGAGTTCCGCGCGGAAAATGTGGCGTCAGCGGCACACCGAGCACCACCTGTAAACTTCCACCGACGCACGCCACACGCAGGGCGGAAGTTAGTGGGACCCGGCAGCGGCGGCGGCTGTCACCGGCTGGGCGGGATGGCGGACCAGCCCGGACCGACGGACCGACGGACCGGCGGACCGCCGACGGACCGGTCCCGGCTCGTGCCGTCCTCCCCGCCCGGGGAGTGAGGGACCGGAGCAAAAAACGACACAGCGGAACACAACAGAGACAGCACCCGGCGAAAATAACGAGAAGTGATGGAAAATGATGGCCAACAAAGCGACAATGCACTGCCGAGGGACCTAATAGAAATAGTAAAAGAAAAAGAACAAAGACGGCGACCAGGCTTTTCGGCCATTAGGAGCCAGCTACAAGCGCTATCGCGAGAACTTCTACAATAAGCATCGAAAGCAGGCTCAGTAACTAGCCATTTCAGTTATCTTTATGACAACATGATATAATTTACGGCTGAACAATCCGGCATTTGAAAAAAAGAAGCAAAAGAAAAAGAAACCACGAATGGGGTATCAGCTTTGTATGCCTGCTTTGCTAAGCCCTAGTGCGTTTCTTCATTCATCATAACTGGGGGGTATTAGCCCATATCCAGATGAAATCAAACATCATGCAATTACATATACGTAACACCAACGACCTATCTCAACAAACGAATGATCAGTTGCAATGGTTTAAAACTTTTAGCGTGACGTCCTACTACAAGATCCGTGTGGCTTTTCTTTGCCATTCGTATGCGCATAATTGGTGGCATTGTCCCATTAGGCTGGAATCGGAGACGCATTTGGCGGCACATTTGCCAGTGGAGGGCCTGCATAATACATTGGTCCAGTGACGTCAGAGAATGGTCTGATGACGTCACAGACACACACTCACCGAAAGGTGGGCTTGCAGGCGAACTTGACCTTGTCGATCAGGTTGGCGATGCAGCCCGTGTGGCAGATGATCTTACACGCAGTGCACTTCATCCGCGAGCCCGTTTTCTGCAGAAAAGGCACGTTTTCAGTCAGCTCGGGGACACCCAATAGGCACTGATATCGTCTAACACTCAACAGTTCATTGTTGAACGGGTAACAATTCATTGGTCATAGGTCAAGGCATAGCGTTGCATGGTGTTGAGCAAATGTGGACGGACAAGTTTATTAATGTGTTTGCCTTGTGCCAGAGGGGTCACTTGTTAAGGGTGCGGTGGACACAGGCATACGTCGTTTCCCAAACTGATATCAACGGTGCGAAGGTATAAGACCGTTGTACAGCCCGAGGGGCGAGGCTTCAGATCGTAATTACCCACAAATCTCCACTATTCAATATTCGTTACTGATCCGTCATCCAGCATCGATCATCATTTATATGTCATCGGTCATCTGATTCCTCCCTCAGCAGTGGCCCCTCAGCTGTCATCTCGAGCCCTGACTACCCGCCCAGCAAATCACGGCCAACCCCGGGGCGCGAGTTACCTAAGTGTGGAACTACAAGTCGATTCTAGGGCTCTGATTGGTGACTTTGGTCGGGGGATGACGCTTATAGCATGACGTCACTCGCGTACTTGGCCGGACCAACGGCGCAGCACAGGCGCGCCGAGCCAACCCAGAGGCTCTCAAACTCAATTGTACAGATCCTGCGCATTGAATGGCGAAACTTCGGCGAGTTCGCTTGAGTTTGGAAGCCCCTGCCAGAGGACTGGAGACGGCCGGATTATTTGCTGGACAGTGGGCAGCGCAGATGGCGATAATGCGATTGACGGTGCCAAAAAGATGATAGGGGAAAAGGAGTTGAGACTTAAGCAGTGAATTATAAGCCTGTTGCATAGCTCAGTGGTAAATTGTAAAATACTTAGGGTTTGAAGAGATGCAGTGTAGATTAGCCGACTTAGGGACATTCTGCCGAGTCATGTAAGGCGGAAGGGTCGCAACTCGCAAGTCGTTTGTTTCCATGATTGCCTGATTAAAATGTAAAGCGTATCTAATGTTTAGTTGATAATACAGCGAGGTTGGGCATCTGCTCAATCCATTTCTTCTCTGCAAAAGTGCATTCGCCTCTGTAATTCATTGTAAGAGGCACTGGGCTGCGCCGCCTGTTAATTATTCCGAAACCACCAGTGAATTCATTTGCTGTCGTCACAGTCACTCACAACAATACGAATCGTTCAGTCGTGCGCTGGGGGTCCGCCAAATTTAATTGTGCTGCAGAATGCAGACTGGACCGCCGAGAATATAATGCACTTCCGTCTCCCTGGGCGAGCGGCGCATTGGAGCCGAAGGAAACTGCTTCAGTTTTTTTTTGTGGGGAGGATACCCATGTTTGAAAATTATGTTATGGAATGGTGTGATAAGAAAAAGGACGGTTTCTTGAATTGAGGGCTGTGGAGAAGAGGCAGATTTTCTCATTTGCTACCCAATGCAACGCGAAAAGACGCAAATGTTGCACATTGGGCTTAATAAGTCTAATAAAAGATAAGGGACTTCGTGAATCATGCCTAATTGACCGCGACCAAGTTATTTGCCAATGCAGGTAGGCACTAGGTAGGTAGATACTCATTTGTGAACAGAACGTTCCACCACCCCTCGCCAAAAATTCAATCAGCTTATTAAAACGTTTGAGTGCACCTGACAACCTTTAAAAATGACGTCCTCCCTTTCAATGGTTCGTGCGAAGACACAAAGCCAGAATCAGCCAAGCAATATCGGAATCCATTGCGCAGTGTGTCGGATGTGCCCCCAGTTTTCAATCCACATAGCATAGTACACACTGCTAAATGCAGGTACGCTCACCTACACATTAGGTATTCGAAGGACTTAATAGCTCATACACATGGAAGAAACACATGAAATGTGATTTATAGCTGCAGCAGAAGTTTGGCGTCCGATGCCTCTTCGCCAAGTTCAGACCATGCCAATCTCGGCCAGTCTGCCGCTGCGCCGGCACTGGCCGTGGTGTGACGTCATCCGGCCGGCTCGGCGCTGGGTAGTTCCACACTTAGGTAACTCGCCCCCGGGGCAGCCACGCTGGCTACCGAGCCCCGCGAATAAACTAACCTCTCTGCCGCGCTCCAGGGGACAGCAACAGAAACTTATCCGGGACTCCGGGCAGTCATTAGCGGGGGGGGGGGGGGCGCAGTAACAGAGGAGGGGCGGGGAGGACACCGGGGCGGGGATAGGGGCGGGGACAGGGCGGGGACGGGCCGGGGATGATGAGATAGGGAGGACGCTGACCGGCAGGGACACGAGCCAGAAGGATGATGAATGATGGATAGACGATGCGTCAAAGAAGGACAATGAGGGAGAGGGTCAGTGGTGTGTGCAGTCGAACGGAGCACCAAGGTGGACGGCGATGGCCGTGGACGCTCGGAGGCTTCGGTGGAAGCAGGAGTGGCATACAGGACAGCTGAAGGTAAAGCGGCACTGGATCTAACTAAATACTAATTTTACTGGACATACTAACTACACACTGGATCTATGCTATTTTTCCATTTTAGCGAGCACATTTTTTCATTTTGGCGGGCACATTTTTTCATTTTGGCGGGCACATCCGCTGCCAAGTCCAGCTACCCTGAACTTTGAGGATCAAAATTATTCAAAAACCAACGAGACAATGACAAGATGCCGTGGACGCGAGACGAGGGGCAGCATGAAGTAGCCCGCGGACATGGGTGGACGGGGAGTGGATGCTTTCGTCGTGTAGTAGCGTGACCCGGGCGCACACCGTACCGTGCCCGCCTTACAACCGGTGCCGACCGGTCCGGTACACGGGCAATATCGACCGACGCGACGGCCGGGCGGGCAGTCTGCCCGGGACTCAGCGGCAGTGGCGGCAGGTGGGGGCTGTAACTACTGGTCTGCCCGACACACAACATCGTCCGTACTATCACACGCAAAAACCGCAGCTACAGAACAACAATAGAAACAATAGACACAGTCCTGTTCACAACGCACAGAAGCAATCGTTTCAACACAGCTCAAACCATCCAAATACGGCACATACTGTCTGCACTTTACACCTCAGTCAGAAGTTCAACACACAGCACCAACATTTCCGATACAGGACCCATCTTTCCGATACAGCACCAGCCCTTCCCATAGAGCATCAGCCGTCCCTTTATAAAGCGTTCAACAATTTCCACCTTCAGCACCAGCATATCGCCCTACTGTTATACATTAAACGCTTCATCGAAACGAAATCGTCCCTGAGGGACCACGTCTCCTCGAGAAGCCATCGTTTACAGAGTCCAATTGCAAGACGCTCAGAGGTAAAACTAACAGGTTATTCCCATACATGTTCCAATAGGGAACACTCTTGTGATCCAACGATAGCATTAGCCGGTAAAACCCATCCAGTCACATCAGATCAATGCTCCATCAGCTGACGGTGACGGCACTTAGCTCGCACATTGAGCACCGACAGGGATCCCCACGGTCGGCGCCAGCAACAGGATGGGTCCGTCCCACAAAGTCAAACTTAGCTGATCAATACGCCAACATAATTAATCACAAACGGTCGTCGTCATTGGCCCGGCGCACACGCGAGGCGGGTCAGCCCCCGCCCCCAGCCTCCGGGGGTGCTGTGGGAAACCGCGGTACCTTACCGTCCTAGCGCAAACAGTAGGCGCTAAACCCCCTCCCCTACGTCAGATCCGCGCCCCGCGACCACCCCCACCCACCCCCTGGCACAGCTGACCGCGGCAGGTCACTCGAGCGCGGCTGGCCGTCAGATCTCTGACGTCACTCTGACGTCAACAGAGCTCACGCTCGCCGCTGCTTCCAGGAAGACAGGCATCAAAGATCATATAACCGTTTTAGGGAGAGCTATTTGTGGCGTTTGCGATGGGTTGGCTCTCTGCCGCACAGACAGTGCTTTGGCTGTGAGGGGGGTCGGGGTGGGGGTAGGGGGTAATCATTAACATCCAGCAGCCCTGGATCGATGTAGGTGGGTTACATCATCGCCCGCTAGCGTATGACCGTGTGGGCAGCAACGTCTGCCGCTCGCTGAATGTCATCGGCAAAAGTATCGAGCCAAAGAATCAAATTAACTGGATCTATTTACATTATTTATTGAAAACCTACCATTACCGCAAAATTAGTGTTATACGTGAATATAGCGTGCCAAGGCAGAGGCGAGGCGACGTTGTTATCTAGTTCAGACACGCAGTTTCTGTCGGATGGCTGCTTGGTCTCGCATCATGCAACTTTAAACAGATACAGACGTGCTCTTAAGGCATCATCTTAAACCTGCTTAAAGTTTCATTGAAGAAGTTGATTAATCGACATTAAAAGGAGATCGTTTGAAATGGAACCAGATTACACGGCTACGCAGTCGAAGGTGAAAAATTAACGAGGTCTACCATCATTTACGAAGGTCAAGCAAACCTTACTCTCGGATTCTGCTAGCCCCTGTGACTTAATCATCATTTTAACTTTTAAGCACCAAATGAGTGGAGCAGTGTTGTCAATATCTAAGTTCGAAGAAAGGTTTCAATCCATAGAATAATTACAGCAGGTGCATCAAAATACTACCAACCTTAAATGCCAGCCCGTCCGCAAGTCAGCTGCATTAACTTTATTGACCGGCCGTAATTGTCGTTCTGTGGCGCGTGCATAATGGCTTCCGTGCCGCGCTAAGCACCAGTGATTCTGCTATGAAAGAGGTGTGCACTCCATCAGCTGTTGGCCCGTGCTTTGGTCGCGACAGGCAACCATTGAAGGCCGTCGATGAATGGTGCTGATCGTTATAATGATCTGTTAACGATTTACTAATAGCAGCCGTGATGAATGACTTCAGAAAGATTCAGTTACTAAGCGGATTTTCCAGCGCCAAGCCAGCCTTAAATTGTGTTTAGCTGTTCTGCAGCGAATAAAAACCATTTGTCACGGATGCCTGGTGACCTGACCTTTTGAGGGCCGCAATTGCGGTTACATAACTTCAGTTGGGCTAAACTGATTTGCGATTCCTAGTTACGGTGCTCGCTTTGTCAGTGAATTGATTCGGCACTGGATTCGAGCTCCGGGTTCGAGCGAGCTCACGAATCATTGAAAGACTGTCAGTCAGGAGGGAAGTACCATAAATGAAATAACGCTTGAAATATACTTTACGATTCAGAGTCTCTACCACTTTCAAACGAAATCAGAAACTCCTGAAAAGAGCAATCCTAGCGAAACAGAGGACGGACCACCTCGCCCCTCGCGCAAACTTGCCCAGACCTCAATGTTCGCTAATAGTAACCTGACGCGCGGGAGTTCCAACTCTGGTCTCCTCGGGGAGGCGAGCGGCGCGTGCGACACTGAACACGCTGAATGAGTGATGAAACAGCGAGAAGCGGTCGCCGGCCGGGCCGGGCCGGCACGTTCAGACTGGCCGCTCGAGGGACGGGTGAATATTTCACCGGCCCGAGCCGCCCGTCCTGCCGAGACGAGTTAAACGTGCGCCTGTGATAGCGACACGCACCCACGAGACGACTCCTCCGGGCCAGCAACTTCTAGGAGGGACGGGTTGAACTGAATCTATACGAGTAGTCACGTAAACCTTGTCCTTTTGTAGGTATAGACCAATAAAAAGCAAAGTGTGCAATGCGCATCTTCCATATGTCACCTGCTTTCAGTGGCGGTCACATCCAAATGCAAATTATCTTTGCTTGCAATAATGGCTTGTCTTGGCCTAAAGAAATAACATTTTTCACAAAAATGCGTAACGTTGCTCGAAAGTTCTGAGGAAAGTTCTTTGAAGTATATCCAACCCTTTATAGCAGCATTTACTTTTCAAATTTGTAGCGACAACGACAAAACCATGTGAAGTGAACTTTACGGCCACTAAAAATCAAGTATTTCTTTATTGTCATGACCTTTCCTCCTTTTCAAAAAAAAAATGTTGAGCCAAAATTATATTGTTTTAGCGTTTTCAAATATATCGGCCACAGGCCTTCATCAGTGAAATATCCAAAAGAACACTTTTGCATCTTTTTCTGATTGCCGCATTTTAAAATATCTTTTTAAAGGTCGTTCGTGCTACGTTGCCTGAAAACGCTAAAACAATATAATTTTGGCTCAACATTTTTTTTTTTTGAAAAGGAGGAAAGGTCATGACAATAAAGAAATACTTGATTTTTACATTAATAATGATCCTCCAACAAGCACTAAAACAGATACAATTTAGGGCCACTACCTGAAACATTAACCTGAACAACACAACCGTAGCCGCACCGAACGTTACGGCCAGCTTTAGTCGATACCTGCACCACTAATGATGACCCCAGCAGTACCCACCGGACATCCAGCCCTGACCGGTACAGCGGCCACCCAGGGAGGTGTGCCGCTGAGGCAGGTATCGACCCGAGGAGGCGCGGTGCGGTGCTTACCGAACAGTCGGGGTCGGGCACGTAACAGAAGTCGCCGGACGCAGAGGTGGGCATCCAGAGGTGCTCGCCGTTGACCGCCGCCTCTGACCAGTCGCAGGTGCTGCGCAGAGTGCGCCGGCCGCCCTCCGCCTCGATCTCGATCTCGCCCGTCGCCGCCTTCCTGTGGAGGGAGGGAGGGAGGTTAGGTCAGTCGGAAATGGTACGGAGCTTTGTGACAGGAGCGGTTACAATACGGCACATGACATATCGACACTTCGATGGGCAGAGTAGGTTCTACTCTAGGCGCCCGTGTCCTACTCAGTAGGATACAGGCGCCTTTCAGTCAGCCGCATTCTAAAACGGACAATGAACAACGCAAGAATAACAGAGAGTGAAAACACTCACAGCATCGCCGGTAGCTAGCGCACTATTCATGTTTTCTTAGCGAGCAACTTTCGGTTACGTAATCCTTGTTAAGGGGTTCTAACAAGAGCTGACTAGAGGGGTTCCGGTTACGCCCTTAACGTGAATAATGGATGAACGTTATTAATACGTTTGTTCAGGCAGCAACTAAGGAACATAGTTAGCTGCAGGGAACAGACAAAAACGTGGTTTCTGCGTCACTCTACACAGAATCAATGCGTGCAGAGCAGGAAATTGAGCTGCAGTTTCGCAGTACCGGCGCTGGTATTCCCGTAGGTGACAGGAGTTGGGATTAGTTGCCGCCTGAAATGATCGACTGAGTCGCAAGAAACAGGATGTGACAGAAGTATGTGTTTGATATTGCTCTAATGTCGTTCACTCAAGTAATGCGTGTTCTGACAAAAATGTCTGTTGGAGACGGCGTGAACAATGCTTGAAAAAAAACATCCTGCGCCGTCCGTCGGAGTCCTGAACGAACTTTTACAAAGACTGACAGAGCAGACACCCGAGTGCAGGTGAGAGTGAGACAGTGATTCAGAAATGCTAAACAGCCATGCGAATGATTTAAGTTTATTTCATCTAATCGCCGGCACATTTGAAGTTCAAATTCAGATTCATTAGAGCACCAATTTGTTAATGATGGGTGACATTGGCAGAAAAAGAGTTGACGATCCATTCATCCTTATAATCAGAACTAAAAAATGACCTAAGCTCTCACCCACCTTCCGAAAGCCTCTGACTCAGTACCCTCACAGATCCAGCCCGTCGTAAGGATCTTCCTTCTCTTCCATATCTCCGAAGAGATGCCTTCGGACAGTCTCCCGTGGGGAAAGACACTTGCTTTCTCACTAAATACCTCTTCGCTTTTGTAGCACTCGTAACAAGAGTTTCCTTTATTTTCATCGACTAGTCTCAGCTTTTTTCCTTGGCCGTCTTTCAAACACTCATCGCTGATGTTTTCTATCCTGTTATTTGTTTCGATATTGTGTGCTTCATTAACGTTCTTGAAATGGATTGAGTTATTGACATTTTCCAAAAGCATGCAGTAATCCCATTTATCGCTCACCAATGAGCATGATCCATTCATGTCCCTTAACTTGACTTTATCTATGGCGGACGGAGAAGCGGCGTTCATTTGTAACTCTGTGTTTCTGTGACTACTCTGTGTTAGCTGGATGTTAACAATTGATCGGTCTCGTTCGTCCTCCGATACAACCCGTTGCTTCTCGGCTGGTTCCGCAGCATGACCGGCAGCCGCGAGCGCTAGTCTACTGCTTGCGGGTATGCATGTTTCTAAATCCAGAGCCTGTCTCTGTCCAGACTGAACAGCACCTACTCCTGATCGTGCTGTTCCTTGAGCATCTGCTGACTGCAATGATGTCCCAGGTGTTCCTAGAATGCATGCGGTCGGTGCTGATGAACCTGGCGTTACTGTTGGCGGCAGCACTGAAAGTTCACCATCCTCAACTACCGTTGGCGGATGCTCATCCTGTGTCAGTAACACTGCTGCTGTTGGTTGTTGAGCCGCCGTCTGTTCATCTTCCTCCGCTGATGATACAACTGCCGGTGGTCCCCCCACTCTCGGCTGGCGCTGGGAGCAGGCGGTGGAGCGCCGCCGCACCCCGCGCAGAACGGCAGCAGGTTCAGGATGTCCCGAGCAGCACAGCACCGCCTCCAGCCACCGCTGCACCCGCAGCACCAGGACGCACCACCAGTCGGGCTGCATCAGGGCAGCTCACTGCAGCGCCGCGGCAAATGTCAGCGGGGCCCGCAGTCACGACCGTGACCCACACCGGGCCGTCACAGCGTCACAGGCCGGCCGGGCCCGTCATCCGCAGGGAGCTCCGCCCTGTCACAGTGAGCTCCGTCATCGGCGGGAAACTCTGTGCTGTCACAGGGCGACAGTAATGACTGAATGCTGGAAATGTCTTGTCAATCTTCCTTTTATCTCTATGTAGTATCGAGAGAAGAGGGTCGGAAAAGTGTTTCAGGTCGAAGAGCGTATTAGGTCGAAAAAGGAGCCTTTGGACTGATGACCTGTGCCTAGCACTCAAGTCCCATTTTGATCCTGCCCCAGTCCAGTTCGCCCTCTCCACCCCAGTTCGTTCCCCGTGTCTCAGCCGGTCACCCTCCACACCACCCCGGTCCCAGGGGAGCTCCCGGGCCGGCGGCGGCCCTGCCACCGAGGTCGGTGTCGCAGTGACGCCTGGAGGCCGTCCCGTCTGACACTGGGAGAGAACACAGCGCCGGGGAGCTGACACACGGACTGGACGGACACGAGACAGCCGCGGGAGGCGCGGCGTCGACCGGGGCCACCGGCCGACACCAGCGGCGACACGGGGCCAGGGTGGCGGGGTGATGGAGGCGGTACGTCAGGCGGGGGCAGTGAAGTGAACGGATGTGAAAATGTTGCCTGCTGTACAATGCTTTGCTGAGGTGGTCAGCTGGTTACGTCTTATACCAACTTCTTTTCAAAACACAATACTATTTAGACGTAAACAAAGTCCCCAGCTGGGCTTGATTGCTCCCTCGGTAGCAGCAAAGTCGATCGGTGGTTAAATTCGGGTAAACTGCTTTCGAAGCTCACTATTTTATGAACCCATATGCCCGTCGCCGCGGCTACAGCAGCTAAGGCAAAATTATTTGATATAAAAAGGGTGTGTTATCACATAAAAATGTCTGGGATGGTGTGGAACAGGTGCACATGCATTAACAATCGAGCCATGTCTCACCTTGGGATGCAGGCTGAACGAAACAACTATCGAGTCGGAGTGGATGACGTTAGTAACAAAATTAGATTGAACACAGGAATAGCTGCAGTGATGTGAGAACGGAGCCTTCGTCAACATACTCCAATATTCAGACTAGTCTAGGCAAGCCAGAATGATAGCGCTCTGGTGACATTGAAGATACAAATCACTTCTAGGAGATGCAGAATGGGGTCGGAGCTATTCGTTACCATGGCACAATAATCCAGCACTCCATAGTAACATCGGAAAGTTACCCGAATTAATGCTTCCCGAAATGTAAATCGATTCCAGTTAAGTTGGGCCAGTTTAGCGGATGACTTGCCCCTGACAACCACATATCCATCCCGCTCAACTTTAAACTGTAAGCATCATGCGACCAGCTATCTCGACGCTCGACAGTATCAAAACTTCTGAAGAATGTTGACTACCCTGTTAGATATTTCATCAGACCACTTAGATAAGATGTTTATATTAGCTTTAAAAGCATGTCGCTGACAAAGTGACAAGGTTTACATGTACCAAAAGTACTTAATATACATCGTTAAGCATTGCCCAAAGACACATATGAAATATGCTGCTTGCCTTACATTGCTAACAACTGGTGGCATTGCATACACAATACTACACTTTCGACACAACATGACGATTCAACCTAACATCTCGGCCACCACTGCTGTCGCCTGATGCTAAGATTTTTCAGCTATGACCTAGCGTTTCTGGTTCGAATTTCAACTAAACCCAGGCAGCCATCAGTGCGTAACGATGAGCCTTTTCTGATCCGATAGACAGCCTGTTTCTTTTTCGGTCGCCGCGCTGGATAACCTGCTTATCGACAGCGTGCGTCGAAATAACTCTCAGAGTGGTCGAGCGAAGTTGCTGCAGTCAAAGCACAGAAATATCGGGATCATCGTTCAATCGAGCATGAGCGCGCCTCCATTCCATCGTCTTTCTATAGGTGGAGTTGCCAGGCAACTAAGAGGTACGATGATCAGAGAGGCGTGTCTTTGAGCCCAGGACGTCCCCGAGTACAGCGATCAAGGCACAGCCACGCGGAGTGCACCTGTTTTAGCGAGCATGCAGATGACTGGAAGCGGCACAGCCGGGCGGCGGGTCCGTTCGAGCGACCTGGGTGACCTGTCCGCCGGTACGGGCACCTAAATTAGATCCAGGCCGCCGTGCATATACGGGAGCTAAAGCCGGATTGCACCCGGGTGCGGCGGGTGGTGCAATTAGTCGATCGGCCATGCGGGCGGGGCGTGAGAGACTCACATGTGCACTGATAGAAATCGACGTGATTACACCGACCGAGTTAGGAACACTGGCATACATGATGTAATTGTGCACCTATTTATATGCGCATTGCAAAGTAGGACACGATGAGCGAAGGACGTATGCAGATAGTTTACAATTACGTAGATGCCCAAGATGAATTGCTAATAAACAGAGTCACTATGAAATATTTGCTATTACGCTACCTACTCAGCAAGATGTTCGCACGCTGGGCTACATATTCCATTCAGCCTTAGGAACTTTCCCTCCGATACCAACACTCCCAGCCCCACGAGCAGGAGACAAAAAGCCAGCCCTCAGCTCCAAACAACCAACTACCCCTCCCCCTCCCCTCCGGCGGTGCCTCAACAAGTCGCCTCTAACCTGTTACACCCATCTCAGCACCAGAGCGGTGCGCCAATTCCGCCCAGGCGTCCGCAGATTCCGCCCAGCCCTCTGCGCCCCGGAGGACGGCGGAAGCGGTGCGGCGTGCTCTGCATGACCCCGTCGCCGGCGACGTTACCAGGCGGCCGTCGGCGCGTCGCCGGCGACACTGGCCGGCCAGCAGATGAGCGGCCTAATCGCCTCATTAGGGGGCGCACCAGACGGCCGCCGCCACCGCGCCGCGGCCGGAAACAGTCTCTCTGCCCGCCCTCAACTTGGCACAGATATGAAACGAGAATTAAATTGTCACGGGACGCATACTAAGAGGGATGATTGGTCACGCCGACGCACACAA